ATATGTGTGTGTGTGTGTGTGTGCGTGTGTGTGTCTGTTTATGTGTATGTTATGCATATATTTATTCTCTTTTACCTAAATCTGAAGTCTAAATTTTTGAAGCCTAAATTATATGTCTAAAAACCCTTATGCCTAAATGTTATGACTAAAACCCTTATGCCTAAATGTTATGACTAAAACCCTTATGCCTAAATGTTATGACTAAAAACACTTATGCCTAAATGTTATGACTAAAACCCCTTATGCGTAAATTTTCTGACTAAAACCCACTTATGCCTAAATGTTATGACTAAAACCCCTTTATGCCTAAATGTTATGACTAAACGGTGTCTATTCTATTGTTTTTGTATTATATAAGGTAAAGACACAAGGGTAAAACAATTCCAATGAATATATGTGCGCATAGTTATCATATTCGTGCATGTATGTCTGGAAGATTGACTATTAATCAATATAGTACATGGATGCTCGCCACAAACAGGCAAAACGACGAGAGTGAACAACGCATACGTATCCCTAACAAAACTGCGGCAATAGCCGCATTTGTCGGGTATACGAGAATTCAGTGTAGTCTACTGTTAAAAGCATTAATATACATACCACCGTGAACCTTAACACTTCCACCATCCCCTTAGCCAGTCCATGAGCATACATGAAGAGTACATCGTGAAGTCTCACCCGATATTAATACATCGTGAAGTCTCACCCGATATTAATATGCACGCCGTCGCGTTATCATTAGAACCGTAACTTCCAGCTACCTCGGCATCACCCGATTCGTAACGTCCAACTACCTCTGCATCATCTGATCCGTAACGTCCAACTACCTCTGCATCATCCAATCCGTAACGTCCAACTACCTCTGCATCATCCGTCACCTTGTGCAAGGATACTAATACATCGTGAAGTCTCACCCGATATTGATATGCACGCCGTCGCGTTATCATTAGAACCGCAACGTCCAGCTACCTCGGCATCACCCGATTCGTAACGTCCAACTACCTCTGCATCATCTGATCCGTAACGTCCAACTACCTCTGCATCATCCGATCCGTAACGTCCAACTACCTCTGCATCATCCGTCACCTTGTGCAAGCCTCTACGTCTGAGCCGACTTCAACACTTCAGCCGTCTCCTTGTTCAAGCCTCTGCGTATGAGTGGACCTCAGTCCATCACAATCATCACAACCGTAACATCACACTACCTCTGTCTGCCTCAACCGTATTAGTATGAACGCCAACGGGATCTTTAACAAGCACCAAGGTATGAGCATACTTGAAACTATATATATATATATATATATATATATATGTGTGTGTGTGTGTATATATACGTATATGTATATGTATATATGTATATATGTATATATATATACATATGTATGTATATACATGTATATGTATATATATATA